AGAAAGTTTTTCAATTGTTTCTTGTCGATTTTGTCCATGAACAATAATTTTTGCCAATAACGAATCATAAAATGAACAAATTTCAATTCCATTACAAATCCACGTATCAATTCGAATATCTTCGGTTGTTTGAGGAAATTCAATTTCATAAATCTTTCCTGTCGAAGGACAAAAATCATTTAAAGGATTTTCTGAACAAAGTCGAACTTCAATTGCACAACCAATTGGTTTTGGAAAATCTTCTAATTGTTCAATTCGTTCATTATGTGATAATTTGATCATCCATTCGACTAAATCGATTCCATAAATCATTTCTGTTACTGGATGTTCAACTTGTAATCGACAATTGACTTCAAGAAAATAAAATTTCTTCGATTTTTCATCCAAAATGAATTCAACTGTTCCAACTGATCGATATTTCACAAGTGAGGCAAGTTGAACAGCTGCATTGCTCATTGCACATCGAATTTCATCGGAAAGATTTGCTGCAGGTGTTTCTTCAACTATTTTTTGATTTCTTCGTTGTAAAGAACAATCACGTTCAGCAAATGAACGAACAAAACCTTTTCCATCACCAAAGATTTGAATTTCAATATGTCGACCATATTCAACATATTTCTCCACATAAAGACCATCATTTTGTAAATATTTTTGTGCTGATCGTTGAACTGTTTCATAAACATTTTCTAAATCTTCTTCATTCCAACATCGACACATTCCTTTGCCACCTGAACCTGCTGTACTTTTCAACATTACAGGATATTCAATACGTAAAGCTTGTCGTTTTGCATCTTCAATATCATTTAAAAGTTCACTTCGAGGTAAAACTGGAATCTTTGCTTCACAAGCCAATTCATATGAAATGTGTTTTAAACCAAATTGATAAATTTGTTCACTTGTTGGTCCAATGAAACAAATTCCTTCTTTTTCACATTGACGAGCAAATTCGGCATTTTCAGATAAAAATCCATAACCAGGAAAGATTCCATCGACTTTCTCTTGTTTTGCTATTTCAATTATTAATTGACTTTGTAAATAAACTTCACTTGATGGAAATCCTTTTAATTCAACTGACCGATCAGCGACACGAACATGAACAGAATTTCGATCAGCTTCTGAATAAATTGCAACACTTTCAATGTCCATTCGACGTAATGTTCGAGCCACTCGAACGACTATTTCACCACGATTGGCGATCAGAACTGATTTCATTTTCGAATCTTTCTTAAAAACAAATGAAGAATTTATTAAATTAGTCGAAAAATCTTTTCTTTTATAAGTGAAGACACTGTGACATGTCTGTCTGTCTGATATAAACGAATGTCATCTTATCTAAGTAACACGTAAATAGACAAAAGAGAACTCTCTTAAAATGAAAAGAACGTGACCTTGTCGAAATAAACTCAAATAAATGTCATTCTATTTTAAGAATAGAAGAAAAAGTGATTTGATAAACAAATGAAACATCTCGAAGTTCTATATATATATATATTCACTGGAAATTTGTTTATCTATCAGAATTTTCTTTATATTTGAGATAAATATGTTGGACTTTGATCGTAAATCTTTCTTTTCTTTTCTTTAACAAAGATCATTTGTGTATAACATGTGCACAATGTTCATTTTAGAAGTCCAAATTTCGATATTAAACAAATTGAATAGTTTTATCTCACACGAATGATCATATTGACACCGCGTGATCATCAGTCGATATCGAAAGAATTCTTTATTCTCTTTCTCTTTCTTTCTATTTGATGATAAAAGTGCATCACGTCTGTTTATCTGAAAGGACTTATTATCTTGTGAAAGGTGCATCTGACATTCAAATTTAGAAAGAAGTATAAAATATCGTCTATATTGATTTTAAATTTTATCTACTAGATTCAAATTGTCAATGCCAACGATCGGTGAACTCCATGAGGTTTATTCGAATGATCCAAATGGTCTTTCGCAGACGATCAATTCGATTTATGACCGAATTGAAAATGAAGGTTTAAAACCTATTTGGATTTCGATTGTTCCACGAGAAAAAGCTTTGCAACGAGTTGAAGAATTATTATCAATTTGTCAAGATGATCGCGGTGCCTATCCATTATTTGGAATTCCATTTGCAGTCAAAGATAATATTGATGTAATTGATTTGAAGACAACAGCGGCATGTTCATCATTTGCTGATGAGAAAGCAACAAAAAGTGCATTTGTTGTTTGTAAACTTGAAGAAGCAGGTGCAATTGTGATTGGAAAAACCAATATGGATCAATTTGCAACAGGTTTAGTTGGAACTCGTTCACCATTTGGAATTTGTTCAAGTGTTTTTGATAAAAATTTCATCTCAGGCGGTTCAAGTTCAGGTTCAGCAGTTAGTGTTGGTAATGGTTTAGTAAGTAAAAGAAAAAAAGTAAAGAATTGTAAAGAAAAACCAAGATATTTTGAAGGTGACATTTGCATTGGGAACAGATACAGCTGGATCAGGTCGAGTTCCAGCAATGTTCAATAATGTTATTGGAATGAAACCAACACGTGGTTTATTAAGTTGTTCCGGTGTTGTTCCAGCATGTCGAAGTGTTGATTGTGTTTCAATTTTTGCTGAAACATGTAAAGATGCATCAATAATNGATGTTAGTTCCAACTGCACCTCGAACGTTTACAATTGATCAAATTCAACAATCGCCAATTGAACATAATACTCAACTCGGCTTTTATACAAATTTTGTAAATTTACTTGATTTAACAGCAATTGCATTACCTGCTGGTCTTCGTCAAGATCATTTACCTTTTGGTGTCACTTTTATTTCTCATTCTTTCACTGATCAAGCACTTCTTCTTCTTGCTGATCGACTTCATCGTTGTCTTTCAACATTTATTGGTTATTCAACTACACATCTGTTATCTAATACACAAAAATTATCAATGAAAGAAAATGATGAACAATGGAATTGTTTTCTCATTGGTGTTGTTGGTGCTCATCTCTCCGATTTACCATTGAATTATCAACTCATCGAAAGAAATGCAAGATTCGTTCGCAAATGTCGAACTCATCAAGAATATCGTCTTTATGCACTTTCAAATACGAATCCGTGTAAACCGGGATTGATTCGAGTCACTGGAAGTCGAGGACCGGGAATTGAAATCGAAATTTGGGCAATTCCAAATGAACATTTGGCAAGTTTTGTCAATTTAATTCCATCACCACTTACGATTGGAAATATTCTTCTTGATGATGGGCAATCGGTGAAAGGTTTTCTTGTAGAACCATCTGGTACCGAGACGGCAAAAGATATCACTCAGTTTGGAGGATGGAAAGCTTATCTTAACGCTTCAGAAGGATAATTTTGATTTCATCCGATTCCGTTGTTTTCTTTGATTATGTAATCGATCTTTATCTTTATCAATAAATTATTTATCAATTAGAAAACAACACTCTTTTCATCTTGAAATAATTCAATGGATAAGAAGTATACACAATCTTTGTGTAACATTGGCAACGATCAGTGTTTTGTTCAGTGTGAAAATTTAAACAGAAACTTTTGTTTTTATCAGAAGAGATTTTTGTATTTTGAAAAAGTCAAAACTTGTCAATCACGCTTTATTTTCTTCATCTTTTTTTCTTCCAACTTCGAGAAGCATATTCGTAATACCATAATTGATAACTTCATCGATATCTTCGTCGTCTTTGACAATAATAATTCCAGCATAATCAATTCCACCAATAGGTACTTTTGATCCATTCTTCAAAATGAACGTATCTTTTGTTCTCGGAATTATATGTAAATAATTCTTTGTCATCACCACATTGTACGACGTTTTCAATGGATTGAATTCTTTTCCTTCTTTGAAACTGAACATTTCATCTAAAAGTTGAATAAATTGATTCATCAGATATTCCGCTAAGTGATCAATTTGTTCCGGCGGACGAATAGAGATAACAAAATGTGCCCAAGGTACTTGACTGATTTGACAAGCCTGAGAATAATTCTGTTCTTCTTGGAGGAAAACATCGATGGGTGGATCGTTTGGTAAAACTGGGAAGAATTGAATATGTTTGTGTTTCTGACTCGCACCGGAATCTTCACCACAATTGAAAAACACGAGCAATTTTGTTGTTCTATAATTTCGAATGATTTGATAACATAAGGATAATTCATCAGCTGATAACGGATCGGACTGATTGGCGAATTCTTAGAAGGAAAAGTGCAAAAATTGACCCATCAAAGATTTCATCGACATACCATGAGGAGCAACGAGAAATTGATTTTTTGTTGAAGGAAATTTATTGAGTACCACAGCATAGGTTGTCTTATTGGATCCATAATTCGGAATGTCACAAACGTGAACGCATTTATCGTAAGGGGGAGCAAATGGATCTTTGTCAGTTTTGCCTACATCTCCTTTTAATGGTTTTTGTTTATGACTAAGAACAGATCGTAGATGATACTAAATACGATGAAAGTCGATGTTTTTACGTAAACTTCGAGGAAAAAGTTATACCGGACAGCCATCAACTGAATGTTCGATAGTTTTTCCAAGTTCAAGAACGACATCACCTGTTTTCACTGCGTTTTCAAACGTGTCTGAAACGAGATGATCGATGTTCGTCAACGGATTCGATGCCATTCTTCTAAAATAATGTACAAAATACGTTCTGCCTTGAATTCTTTTCTGTGTTGGTTTCCTGTTCGATTAGAAAAAAATCCAGTAAACAAAAAGAAAACGAGATGTCGCAACGAGCGAAAGTCTTTATTAGTTAATCTGTTGTATATTCTTCGTATTCATGTTTAAAACCAAGTAGCTGACCGATCAGAGCACCGATTTTCGTGATGTTTTTCATTATCGATAAAGGAAGTGTTGTTAGATAAGTCTCCGCATTGTCAAAAAGTACGAATATTTGCCAAATAGACAGAGATTCATCGCGTATGACACCGCCGAAATTTTCGAAAAATGCACGTCGAAGTCCATTGTATCGATTTGCTGGTTCAACACGAATGAGAACAGTCAAATCTTCTTTGTTATCATCCATCCAAAATGTATGTGGCACACCTGGTTGAATAATAAGTGGCTTTGGACATGTGTGAACATCACATGAAGAGATTTCATCGCCTAGTTGATATCCTAACTGGCCTTGAAGAAGTGTAAAATATTCGATTTGACGGAGATGAATATGAAGTGGTGGTGTGCAAGGTCGGGAGAGAGGAGCGACTTCGAGATTGCCACATAGGCCATGAGCATAAAGCGTGTTTTCGAATTCAAAATATGAAGATTCGGACTGTTGAAGAAAATGATATGTTTCTGTGTTGCTTTTTAACGAAGTTGAAATATGTGAGGAGCCTTTTGTACGTGTTCGGATGAGCTAAAAATAGAAATATCAATTTTGACACATTCGATTGGAAATCAAATCTACTTGAGATGTCAAAAAGCGATAATAAACAACCCAGCCGATAAAACTAACCAAAACAAACGATTTCAACCACCAATGCATATTTTCTTATATGTAATGAAGGCGAATATGTGAAACGATCATCACCGAAACGAACACGTGTATTTATTTACGGTCGATCGAAAGAAAAAAAAAAGTGTCATACAAAGAATAGTACAGGCAAAATCGAAATATTCAATAAAAGGTGGAGATTCTCTCTATATGACATTCGTTTATTAGCATGAGAATTTATATCACAAAATATATCTAACAGGTTATCGCTTTTTGTTGTGTATGGATGTTTATAATTGATAAGGCAAGCGAGTGATATTTTGAAAGTATATCTCATACGATTCTCATATGACATACGATTGAATCATTTCCACGTGGTTCACGAAATATTTAGCTTAGTACGAAGACATAATGTATTGATTTAGAGTGTAATGGTCGACATACTCAATCAAAATTGTAAACGAGTTACAATGACAACAACACTTCGGCCGATGTTTTATTTAGTGACACCATCGGGAATTTGATTATTAATGAGTTAAAGATGTACCAGATTATATGATTTTAGTAAGAGAGTTCTTGTGAGTCAAATTTTGAATAAATAACAAGAGATTTCATCAAGACTACTCAACTTATCATTCGTCTGAAAATTTCAGGTTCGCTACTGCTCTTCGACAAGGCTTTCTTCAATGTGTTTTTGATTGGATGCTTTATCTTCCATGCACCTTCAAATGAATTTATTATTTCAATTTTGGATTCATACAGAAATCATTATAAATCTCGGCCTATTTGAAGTCATATTCAACATTTCAAGTCATCATGGAAGAAATCCATATTGTATCGATAAAAATTACGGGACGATGCTGATTATCTGCAAACTCAAAAGATGGAAAAACAAATTGTCGTTGATTTTGCAAAGGCCCACCATGGCAACCTGGTTTACTTCGATTAGAAAATCATCAGTATCCACAGATCAAGCATCGGATTGAATTGTACCCTCCGCAGATCCCACTAAGGATTGCAAATAGACATTTTTGTGCATTTATTATTTGTATTTATTGAATATCATCTTGTACTTCAAGATTCGAAAGTGAATTTATTGTCAATGATTTCGATTTTTGATAAATTTCGTCTATTAGAACTATTCGGTGATTTTGTTTACTTTAACGACTTTTCGTACGATATTTGATAGCCGGTAAGATTAATGTTAATTAGTATTTGATTCGTCAGAAGAGTTTCGTCGATAAAAAAATCTGTTGTTTATCTCGAACGAACTCGACTTCTTTATATTGTATTTTTATCACAATTCTTGCGAACAAAGTCAATTTTTTTCTTCCAAACAAATCTTTTCCTTTAACCCTCGTTCATTCTCTCCTTCATTTCACACTCTTTTGGGCCCTCGATAAGCACACCCTTTAATAAACTATTCTCTTAAATAATCGTACGTGAAAAGTAAAATAGCAGTGTCAGCGAGTGCTGTAAACAAACCTGATAAGCACACGGTTCTTTGCACTTTTCATCAAAGATTTTCCTGATGCATCGATTTCTGAATATTATGATGGCGATGGACGTCAATAATGGAATGGGAATGAATAATAAATTACCATGGAAATTGAACGAAGATGAACGATGGTTTTTGAGCATATCAACAACGACGAAAGATCCGCTAAAACGAAATGCTGTAATTATTGGTCGATTGACCTTCGAATCGTTTTGCAAATATTTAACGAAAAATTTTATTCATTGGCATTTTATTGTGATAACCTCGAATTCTTTAGAATCGATCAAAGCGAATTATGAGCAAAGTCATATCGATGTTGTTAGATCGTTTGACGAAGCTGTTCGAATGGCACGTGGATTTCTTGACAATTCAGAGAAGGGTATTGAATCCGTGTTTGTATTTGGAGGTGTCCACCCGTACGAGCAAGCCATGGCTTCGGGACTAGTTTATCGTGTCTATTTAACAAGAATCTTTGCTGAATATCCATGCGATACGTATTGGTCAAGTTTAGATTTAAGCCAATTTCGACGAATTCAACGATCAAAAAATGAGATTCTTGCAGAACTCGATGATCAAATTATAGGAGAAAATGGTGTTACTTATCAATTTCAAGTTTATGAATTTGATGAGAAACAATAAATGATTTTGTCGAAAAAGTGAACAGAAATTTGTCTTCATTTCATAGATAATTAAAACCTGCGTAAGATGGCGGAGAAAATAATAATCAACATGGTGTACTTAAATCAACTTATTTATTTGAACATATTCGTATTCGTATATCATCAGGATAATCTAATGTTGTTCTATCTTTTATTTGTTCATATAATTATTATTGTCCTTAATACAGAGAGTGAATGTGACGATAGAAGACTTTGATCTTTATTTTGTTGATCGTCAGTATTGTTTGTATTAGAGCTGCAGAAAGAAAGGTAATGTTGAGCTACGTTTGTTATGATCAACTTTATTCTAAAAAAGTAAGTTTCAGATGAATTGAAAAGCTTTGAGAATAGAAAATAGGCTGTGTGTAAACTGCTGGAACATGCAAATAACACCTATTTCAAGGTGATTGACCTTCGCACAAAAGTAGTTTTAAATCTCTTTGGATCAGAGTACACATACATGTACTGCTGTGCTGTTGATAAATGTAAAACCTAAGAACAAATAGTAACGTTTGTACACGTCTTCTGAATAAGTTGCGAATATCATATTAAATGGCCACTTCGCTGTCGTAAAAGTTTAGCTTGAGCAACCTGAATATCCTTTCATGATTTTGTCCTTATAACAAGACGTTCGATATACACTCACAAAGTGTAATCAAAGAGCTATATGGAAGATCATGTGTCAATAGTCTGTCAAAAGTCCAGAAGTGTATACTACTATTTTACACTATCCGTACCATGAAAGCTGAAGAATAATATTGAACAGGAGAGTATAACTATCATATACATTGCTGCAGCAAAAGTTATAAATTCATATCTAAAAGAGAATACGAAAAAACTTGACGATAAATCTACATACTGAGAAAGTGAGTGCAAATATTACCCTATAGTCTGGTTGAGTTTAATTATAGGGTATTCGTTTTTCCTGTATTCACCGATTTCTTCAATAATTCATCATAAATCATAAATCCTGGTCCATCTTCGCTTTCATCAACATACTTGCCTCTGAGAGGACAACCACACATACAAGTGTAAAGTTCATTTTCGTTGTAATAATCCGGTGAAGTTCAAACTCATCGCATACCATTACCGTAAAGGAAAAACAATTTTCATTGTCAAACAAAGAGAATGTTTCGAAACTATAGCTCTCAAGCTGAAAGAAAAGACTTTGAGATCTACAACTCAGAAATAAAACATTCTACGGAATACATTCAGCTATACGAAAATGATTATAGTGCCTCTCATCTCGTTTCATTACTGAAATCAAAAGGAATTTTACAATAGTACATTTAGACTTCAATAAAATTCGCATAGTACCTAGTTTATTCGATGTTTTACTTAAGTTTAATATGAAACAAAATTCTGAATATATTTATTTTTCCTTGTTGTGTTTTTATTCTAAATATTTGAAATGGGTTTTATTTTACATAGTATTAACACCCGAAAACTTTGTTCTCACCGTCATTGAAATATTTAGTATATTATTTGATATCAAATATCCGATAGCGTCACTAACTTTATTTATTATTTATTATATCGATGAATAATCATATGTAATACTTAACTCAATATTATTTTTTTGGTTGAATCCAGCCTTATAAATATGAAAGACAAAACGAAACATTCGTTCAGAAAGCTACTCGAAGATGAACATTCTTTTATTAATATTTCTTTTTGGAAATATATTTTCAATCAAAGCAAAAGAATTTTCGTGTAATACAAATCGATCGTGTGGTTGTGGAAAAAGAAATGTTGAATATAGTGCAGAATCTAAACCATCCAGTTGGCCAATGATTGTGTCGGTTCAGTATGATTATTCACATGTTTGTGAAGGATCGATTTTAGCTGATTCATTTATTTTAACATCGGCGAATTGTGTTCGACGATTTTTAAGAGATGTTAAACATAGAAAAGTAAGTATTCTTGTTGAAATATCTGAAGAATTCCAACGAATAACAATTGATAATGTAATAATTCATCCAAATTGGAATGGATATGAAAACGATATTGCTTTACTTCATTTATCTCGATCATTACCATCAACAAGTCGAACATGTCTTTCGAGTCAAAATCCATCGGTTGGTGATACAAGTTTGGTCATTGTTCAATGGAATTCAAATAATCCACATATTTTACGACAAAGATTTGTTTCATTTACTGAACATAATTATACAAATTGTAATAATTCAAATCAACAGTTCTGCGTACATTTAAGAACTATCACTGAAAGTAAAGAAAATTTATCCGAAAATGAAAAAGAATTGTTTAAAATTTTTATTTAGATACTTGTTATGGTACGCTTATTGAAATCATCTTATCAGCGAGTCGAAAGAGCATTTGAGTAGTGGCAGTACAGTGAAGGGATTTTCTTCTTTTTCTTCCCACTCTCTAATCACATTTTCTATGTTATTAGACATACTCTACAGTCCAGTATTTCAATGGTTTGATGATCATTGGGAACAAGTTGGCATTTCATCATTTCCATCGATTACCTGCAAAACGAATTCGATTCTAAGCTCTACTCGAATTGCTTATTATCGACAATGGATTGAAGAAAATTTAAAAACGAATAACAAAATGCTAAGAAGAAACGAAAATTCTCCAACGATCACATACCGATGTGGCCGTCGGGAAAACACATGTGGTTGTGGTTCTGTAAATGCTGAATTTATTGAGGAAAACGGACATCCAGCCAAACCTCTTAGTTGGCCAATGATTGTTTCAATTCGTCTAAACAGGAAACATTTATGCAGTGGTTCGATATTAAATGATTCGTTCATCTTAACATCTGCTTCATGTATTGCAAATATATCTATAATTGGCCTAACTATTATAGCTGGTGTTCACAATCTTTCTTCAGAAAATTTCGGAATTCTTCGAAAAGTTGATCGAGTATTTGTTCATCCAGGTTATCTGGGAATATTCAATGATTACATCAATGATATTTCTATTTTACATATATCGGAACCGTTTGATTTAGACGATAATACATTAATTAAACAAACATGTTTAGTAGAAAAAATTTCTCCGACATCGCCATCATATTTCTATCCATATACGGACGATAAATTAGCATTGATCGGATGGGGAACAATGAATTGCGACAAGAAAAATGAAAATAACTCTCTTCAACAAATTTTAGTGTATACAGGAAGGCCTTCTAACAAAAATTGCTATATATTAGAAGAACATACATCTGCGCAATTTTGTGCTGGACTTGCGAATCAAACTTCAGGTTAACATTCTCTTTTCGACAATGAAAACATAACTTACGACATTTTTAAATTCTTTTTAGTTTCTTGTGTTGGTATGTTCAAAAATATTTGATTATAAATTTTACTTTTAGAAATTTAGCCGATCCGGGGAGTCCAATATTTCAATGGGACTATGATCGTTGGGTACAAGTTGGAATTGCTTCATATGTGATCGATTGTTTACCATTCAGAAACTTACCACTTTACACAAGAACTATTGAATATAACGAATGGATTTCTTCAATTGTAAATGATTGTCCAACACAACCGATTGAAACAATGACGAAACTTCCGATAACATATTCATGTGATTCGACACTGTCATGTGGTTGTAGCTCTTCTCCTGTTAGTTTGACTCCAGTACGTATTATTGGTGGAGAGAATGCAATTGAATCAAGTTGGTCAATGATTGTTTCATTGAGATTAAACGGAAATGATGAACACATGTGTGGTGCAAGTATTTTATCTAATTCATATATTCTAACAGCAGCTCATTGTATTATGCATGATCCACTGCTTTCTTCGATGAATTTAACAATGGTAGATAATGCAACAATTGCTGTTGGAATGACAAATATTTCCGATCCAAGTCAAATTATACGTTCAGTTGATAAATTTTATGTTCATCCAGAATATATTGGTAGACGAGATGGATATCGTCATGATATAGCTGTTTTACATTTAAATCAATCATTGAGTATTGGTGTCGATAATCCCTTATTAAGAAAAACATGTATTCATCGTGTTGATCCGCCATTAATAAGTCATGAGTATATTAAAAATGGTACTCGACTGAGTGTTATTGGATGGGGAACTACAGTATCGGGTGAAGATAAAAGTCCGATAATTCTTCAACAAACAGAAGTTTTTGCAATGGATAATGATGATCTCATATGTACAGATGCAATGGATGATCCACATACACAATTTTGTGCAGGATTATATGAGGGTGGAAAAGGTAAGGAAGATCTTTCTGCTTCTATGAAATCATGATTGTTGTCTTTAGATTCTTGTCAAGGTGATTCAGGTGGACCCATATTTCACTGGACAGGAAAATATTGGGAACAAGTTGGTATTGTTTCACACGGGCGTGGTTGTGCTGTTGCTGGTAGTCCGGGTATTTATACAAGATTATCATATTATTATGATTGGATTAATGATATTCTTAAAACAAATGATGAATATATAGAACCAGAGATAATTTCAACAAATAAATCTTCTACGGTAACAATTATTTATTCTTCTGTTACAACCACTTCTACAATATTTATAACATCAAATCATAGTATTTACGATACATCGTCAACAACAACAGACAATAAAAGAAATAGTGCGTACAGATTTGAAATAAATCTTTTTCTTTGCGTCATATTTTTATTTTTATTTTAATTTAAAATAAAAAAAAGAAAACTGCAATCTTGAGGGTGAGGACGCGAGCAGGATTGATATATGACTATCCTATACGTACATTCTTATGATCCTTCAACTTTTTGTGCATATCATCTTCGTCTCAATTGAAATAATGAATCATTAAAATGTATTATTATTGCAAGATCATGCTGATACATCAACGTATAACAAAGCAGTGATTTTAGTTACCTGTGCTGCAGAAATACACGATTGATCGTCAGAAATATGGTCTACTGTTCATCAAATGTATCATGTTCACGATGGGCGTACGTCATCCTTATTATTCAATGGACATATACTATAGTTACCGGTGGATACCATGTCAATCATTATTTAAACGCTACTAAATACTATGACGTATCAACCGATAGTTGGACAGTCGCTATCATAAGGAGTCTTAGAAAAATTCTGCAGATTTTTGCAATAATTGAAAAAGGTTCTGCCAATGTTGCTCGATATCGAATTCGATTGAAATCGCAATATCACAAAACTGTAGAAAACTTCGCTTCACTCGAACGTCTCGTTCGAGCTATTGCGTATTCACTTAAAACAATTATATATAAATGAGGAGCAAGAAGAATAAAGAAAATTGATGGGCGACGGATACTATGAGTGTCTAATTGGACTAATCCTTTATTTACTATTTTAAATGAACTAATGTATTGACCTTTGTGGTACTAACTTATACCGTAAAGTATCAGTCGGATGCATAATTAATTTGACTATTACTCAGTTGCAAATAGCATAAAGTCATTTGCGTCATAAATTCTCCATAACAGATACGTCAAATCTTTTGGATAAAGCCTTCTTGTCTATCTTCGGTTATATATTCGTTTGTTAATGCCATCGGCGTAACGAATTTTCGAAGTAAAAGGAGAATATGGTCTATTTCGTATACGAAATCGGCTCACAAAAGTAGTAGCAAATGTATTCAAATTACTGATTTGTAAACACATAAAGATGTGATGTTCGAACAAAAATATTTATCATTTGAATACTTCGAACGGGCAGAAATTAATGGAAATTCTTCAGTCGTTCATATTGTTGAGACAAATGTTGCGACCTTTGACGGTAACCGCTCCACACAAATCTAGTAGTTCATTGAAATATTTATAAGAAAATTTAAAGTACTAAAAGGTGAGATATTTGATTACTGATAGAAGAGGAAAAATACCCTCAATAAATTGAAAACGAAATCATGATCAGTAGTGTAATGCAATTTATGTCTTCTGATAATACTATGACTGAATAAAAAAGAAGTTAGGGGCCAAGAAATGAATATAATAATTTGAGATGATGTACGAGATTAATCGACCTGGGTTTTAGCAAAGTTGCAGTATTGTTATTGTTTGGAGAAAAAGAATGACTTACAGAGAAGATTTATTTACTTGGTATCGATGATCGGTACTAAGAAGTCGATTAAATCTTCGACAAATATTTTATTGAGATGCCATGCGTCCACAATGTGAATATTGAGCGATATTACCTTTTTCCGCATAATCACTAACCTACATTTCTGATTGCGAATGAGCAGCATCTACGCACATTCCTCAACTTATATTTGTGTCAATAAAGTTTATTTCTATAAGACAAAAGAACGGTTCGAAAAAGACAACAAAAACCTTTCTGTGATTCGTATTAAATTCAATGACCAGTTGCTAACCAAATTGCATTTCCTGTATTCGCCGATTTCTTCAATAATTCATCATTGATCATAAACCCTGGTCCACCCTCACTTTCATCAACATACTTTCCTCTAAGAACACAACCACACATACAAGTGCAAAACCCATTTTCGTTGTAACAGCCCGGCATGCTCCAAACTGATCGTGTGCACGTACCCTAAACACAATTGAGCCAGATGAGACAATCTTGTATAGACTGAAGAGCGTTTTCGAACAAATCGCTCCGAAATATTGGCGGTTGCAACATGATTTTCTAGTAGCGTCTCTTCTCATATTGTGGAAAGTTTGCTGGTAATTCAAATAACTAATTACCAATTATTTCGGCTCAGTGTGATCTCATTCATTTTGAGTATCGTCTAAAGAAACTTTCTTTTTTGAACTTACAATATGTCTATAAAGAAGACATCCATTTCGAGGAATTTCTAAACGTGTCGTCGTTCCATTGGACCATGTTCCAACAAATTTATCGGTCGGAGTACAAACACTGCAACAGCCACCCATGTGGAAGACCCAAGCGAAAAGACAAAAATAAATGACGAAGCACTGCGTTCTACTGACGATGGTTGATGCTTAAATAGCCTTTTCTCGCAAGATGTTTTGTGAAAAATGTTTCGGGTACTCTTCTGACGTCAAACAACACTATTGCCGTTTTTTTCTTTTTTTCTGTTTGTTTAACAAGGAATCAAATAAAAATCACCAGATTTTATGTACTGAAAGAATTTTACAAAAATTGTCATTGTCAAACAAAGAGAATGTTTCGAAACCACGCGGCAACATTTGCTCTACTTACGATGAGCTTCATGAGTGTATCTACTCGGTGGATCCATGGAGACCCAACTACTTTTTGGAAGGTTTTTTTCGTCTGAAATATTCGATCTTTGTTAGAAGCGCTTTTTCGAAATTTTTTAGTACTTATAAATATCAAATAAGTCTAAAAACATGTTTTTTGGTAATAATTAGACTCCTCTTATTGAAAGTCATGTGGTGAGCCATATTTTCTATGTATATATATATAATAACAGTCCTATTTAGAGCATACCAAAAGTAATGACGTCACCTTCATAGTATTGCATATAAGGCCGATAGAAATCTTTAAAAATATTGAATGATTTCAAGTCGCCTGGACTTTCTTCGAAATTTTACTATGGAGATGCGAAAGAGCTTACCACGTATGCGTAAAAAACAAACAAAGGACGCGCATGTTTGACACATACACGTGACTGGCTATGAAATTAGTCGACAAGAAAAAAGATAAGATCAGTAGCAACATGTTCTAGATGACACATCATAGTGCCTGCGACGTAGACCATGAGAGAATCACGACCACTCATCGCGCTCTTCAAACGGATAAAGAACACTTTCGTTTCTATATTAAAGTGCGCACTGCACTTCATATTCAGCCAACAGGCATTCATAACGAATTACATACTGTCTTTGGTGGTCAAGCCCCCTTCTCAGGACTGTTCAAAGGTGGTCGAAATCGTTTCATGAAGGTCGAGAAAAAGTTGAAGATGAAGAAAGATATGTAGGAGGACAGCATCCGA